GCGCTTCCCGGCAGCCGCTCCTGGCAGCCTTCACCCTCTCGGTCTGAACGGGGGCAAGCGCCGCCCTGTCGGGGAGGGTTGCCTCCATGCTCTGAAACTGAAGTCCCAACCCTGCACCACGGTACCAGTCCGTGGCCCATTAGGAACTGGGCCGTGCGTCACTGCCCCCCACCCTCCCTGTCCTCCATGAAACTTAGCAGGGGCAGGGCACTGCACGGCAGGAGGTGAGTGGCGGGGAGCAACGGGGAGCAAAGACTCCTCTGCACTGACAGCCCCTCCACTCCTGTTGCTGCCATCACGGCCTGAGCTCCACCTCCCCCCACCCTGTCCATGAACAATTGTCTTCCATGAAACCCGTCCCTGGTGCCAAAAAGGTTGGGGACCGCTGCCCTAAAGGGCTCCCGGGGCCTGGTCCAGCCGGGCCCGCATTCTGAGTTAGGATCACTCCTGACTTCCCTTCTCCTCCCCACCTCACCCCTCGAAGCAGACTGAATCTGGAGACCGGTCAGTCAGAGTGTGCTCAGCCGGTGCCCTGTTAAGCCTCACGGCCACACTCGTGCCTGTCTCCACACCCGCCTCCCAGTGGACTGGAACTTCTGCGGCGGAAGGCCTGCGTCTTCACACTGTACAAAAGCCGGGGCAGTGGGCTTCCCAGAGGTCCTTTAAGGTGACCCTACGCCCAGGCCTGTGACTTTTCTCTGAACGCCTCACTCCCCACACCTACGCATAATGCCCCGGCAGGCCAGCCCCCAACTGCACCCAGATACCCCGGTCCTGAAATGGTCCAATGCACCTTCAAACGCAAGACTCGGATTACTCTTATCTTTGAACATCGCATCACTGGACTGGGACTCCAAGGGGCCACATTTTATGGAGTCCTTTCCTGTGAGAAGCTAACAGCAGTTACTCATAGTGACCCAGTTCTGTGGAGCTCCTCAAGGACAAATGGCAGATCTGGATAGAGCCAGAAAACTCCTGAGAATTTAATCAAGGGCAACGAACCATGAGACCTCCCCCAGGGGCAGTCACCTGAGAGACCTATGGTCGTTCTAACTCTGCAAAGACAGTATTAACCTGTTGCTTTCAACTGTGCTGTGCTGCGTATTCAGATCTGCTCCCCGGGGCAATGGTGGCATATTGACATACTCCAGCAAATACGATTCCTCAATCTGAGCCGAGAAACATAGGTGTGTGTGCCGCGGGAGGAGATGGAGCAGCGTGGACATGGGGAAATTCTAAATGAATGGAAAGTTTGGCCTGTATTTCACAGAGAGTTCAAAAAGAATCTTCTCTTAGAAGCACAGGGAGTCACATGCATCCAACTAGAACGCGAAGTTCGTAGCGTCGTAACTGCGCAGAATCGGGCTCTGTTGCATTCTGGGGAACTGATTTTGCAAAACAACAGGCTTTTCGGAGTGAGGAAATTATTGATCCAAAATGACGCTGGGAGAATTCAGATTTGCATTTTTCCTGGGGCCTTTGAGCAAGTCGCTGCCCTTCTCCAGGACTTAGCTTCTGTGCGGCGGGTGAGCCGGGCCTGTTCACAACGGGTGTCTCAGTGCTCTGCTTTTTCACGGATGAAATGGGGTTGGGTTTTGTATTTGACAGCGAGAAACCTTAATAAGAGTTTCTGAGAAGCAACTCCTTGGGGCAGAACATCTTTGGATTCTCAGTAGCTGTGAAGTGACATTTCTCTGTGCCCTTCTTGGATTTTTTCTGCTATTTCTTTTAAAAGAATCCGGGAGTCTGTGTGTAAGGGCATGCCTGCTTTTCCCGTCCTGACGGGGCAACGGCAGGCCCGGCCAGTGTCCTCTGTGGCGAGCTCGGCTTGGGCTCAGGAGGGCCCCACCTGAGGCGGGGAGTGGGCTTCTCTGACCCTGCGGTCTCAGGGTTAGTTTTGCTTATTGCTACGTGTCTCTGCACTCATTTTTCCTTCATCCTTTTTAAAAAAGATGTTTGTTGGTTCTTGTTCTGTTTTGTTTTTCCAAAACAGAGTCATACACATTTCACAAGTCATACACATTTCAGAGGACAGAGCACACTGGGGAGGTCCAGGCCCTTTTCTCTCTCTCCTTTTTTTTTCCTTTTGATTTAGAGATGGGGTCTCACTGTATGGCCCAGGCTGGGGTGTAGTGGTGGGATCACAGCTCACTGCAGCCCTGAACTCCTGGGCTCAAGACATCCTCCTGCCTCAGCCTCCAGGGTTGCTGTGGGTATAGGTGTGAGCCACCGCGCCCGGCTCGGCCCTTTTCTCCTTACTTTTGGCGTTAGCCTATGTCATCCCGGTCTTAAACTTTCTTTCCCAGTCTATCAAAAGGGAATGTTCTCCTTCACAGAGACTTCCCCAGGCCTTGAAATGAAGGCAGAGGGTCTCTTTCCGCCTTCTCTCAACCCACCCACCACCCTGACCATCACCTCCACCTCCAACGATGCTCAGCTGCTGTGGGGAAGAGAGAAGGTGGTCAGTGTCCAAAGCAGGAGCCTTTAAAACAAGTTGCCATACCCAATTACCCCCGGTTAGCTACTGGGCAAACCCTTTGATCTCTGGGCTAGTAAGTTCGTTCAGTGGTGACTTGAGCAAGCGGCACAATACGTATTCTGGCCTATTCTTCCTCTGCGCCCCTCCGGTAGTTTATGAAAACTAAACTGGAATCTCTCTATGCCTCCATCAGGACCTCACGAGTTACTTCGGCTCCAGGGAGAAAAGTCCTGGGGTTGCCTTACAGTGACCAGACTGAAGTAGGTCAGGAATTAAACTCCAAAGTGCTGACTTTCCAGGCACTCTGGCGCTCTGACCTCACCTGGTATTTCGAGGCCTGTCACCCCGGCTGCAAAGGGAGGGGAGAAGGGATGTACGTGTGGTGGGCGCCAGCGTCAGACAGACGGGGTCTGAATCTCAGCTCTGCCACCTGCCACGTGTGCAACTCAGCCAGAGCTTCTCCAAGTACAACGAAGGGTGTCCCGTCCTGAGACACTGATCCCCTGGGCTCCGAGGTTGGGGGGTGCCCAGAGTGACAGGGCCTGAGACAGTATCCCCAGCCGCAGAAGCCTCTAACTTTCGGCAATTCTATTGTTTTTCCTGATATTGTCTCAACCTTAAGCTTCCACGGTAAGGGGTGACACGCTTTCTGCCCTGCCTCCTATGGGGCGGCGGTGGGGTTTAGCAGAGACTCGTACACAAAGCCGGCTACAGACCCAGGCAGTGCCTCATTTAAGACTGAGCACCCGTGGGAAAGATCCCACTTTGGCGTCTGACTCTGCCGAAGCCTGTCCTTCTCCCCGACGTGCGTGCTCGCCAACGGCGCAGAGACGCCAGTGGCCAGGGGCCTCGTTTCTGAGGAAGAGGCATCTGAAAAGCCGGTTCCCTGCCCTGCACAGGCCTGACGCCCGTGACCTCTGGGGCCGAGAGGCCGGGGGGTGTGTGACATGTGAAGAAAACACTCTTTGCCATTCAAAGCGTGCTCCTCGTTGGACTTTGGGGAGGCTCCCGAGTCTCGGGCTCCTGTCCCAGAGAGCACTGCTTCGTACTGCCCGAGATCCTAGCGTCTCATGTGGGGGCCTCGTCGCGCACTCTGCGGCTCCCCCTTTCTTGTCTTTCTCCCCCCTGCCCCGGCCACCAGCCGCGTGTTCTTTGTATACCCCATGCTCCCTCTCTTGCCTGTGTATTTTCGTAAATGCCATCTCTTGGTTCTAGAATGTTCTTCCTCCTGCCCCCACCAGGCCCCATCCTGCCTACCCCGGGTGTTTAGGATCATGATTCTGCGAGGTCTTCAGCAGGCAAAGGACAACGTACTTCCCTGTGCATGCAGTGATTGTACCGTGACAGCATTTTGCGAAGCAGCCCCTACTCATCACGGTCCCTCCCCACGAGCCTGTCATAGTCTATTCCCGTGCACACACCCCCGGACGGTAAGTGCCAGCTCTCCAGAGCGAAGCACACTGGTAATTACGAGCATTTCCCAGGCCACTCAGCGTGTCCCAGGACCTAGCACAGTTCCCAGAACACAGTGGATGCTCATTATAAGCCTGTTGAAAGGCAAATGAAGAAAAAGCCTGTGCGTGTAATAACAATATTAATGAGAAGGACAAGAATGAAGAGAAGGAAGACAATAGTCATCACTAGCATCTTAAACTGTGAAGCCACAGAGAGGGAAAGTGGGGGAAACTCAGGGCAGGACTTCTGAGACGTACAGTGTTCTAGCAAGGGCTCTCCGAGAAGGATTAGGAAGGCTTCAATCCACGGAAGCCTCGGGCAAGGAAAAGGCAAAGCATGTGAGTCGCAGATGAATTCCTGGATAACCACTGACCTGTGGTCAGGGCAGATTTGTAACCTAGCACAGAAACGTGCAGTGCCAAGAAAAGGACAAGGACATGCATGGGGAAGTTTGAGTCTCAGCTCTCCAGAGCAAAGCATGCTTGGCAAATATAAGCATCTTATATATTTTTGCACAAGTAATCGGAGCAAACGAAAAGCCACTAGGATCCAATGAGCCACTAGGATCCAAGAGCCACTCACAAGCAGCCCACACACTCCACATCTTTGCGACTTCAGTCGTGCCCCCAGCACCAGCACTGACTTGGAGTTACTTCCTTACGCAGAAGAAAACCCACCTTCATGACTTGGGTATCAACAACAAAGAAGCAGTTTCTTGATGGTCTGTGCTTCCCCAGATACCCCTAGCCCACTGTGCTTTTAAAAGCTGAAGTCAACTTAGCGAGAACACATTTACACGAAGCAGTGAGGAGTGAGACAACACAAGCCAAGCCAAGGCTGGAGGGAACCTGCAGGGGGCTGGGCAGCTCCTCCAGCAGAGGGATGTCTGGCAAGCTCTTGTCTAACCACAATCACTATGTTTTGCCCATTTTGTATGCTCAACTAAAGGTGGGGGGAAAAAAACAACCATTTTTGCTAAAGCTTGCCAATTGCAAAAGACCAACTTCTTTGGAGCAACTGTGCAGAGAATCTATAAGATAGAGGTATTGGAGAAGAGGCTCCCTGCCTGTCCAGAGCGGAGCAAACAGTTGGCGCTCACTGGGAAAGAGCACTTGTCATTCGAGTATTTAGGGAGCTGCGCAAATGTTGAGAAATGCAAATGCACTCAGAATCGTGCAAAACTCCATAAAGTGCTACGCCAGGAAATGAAGTAAAGGCATTTTGGCGAAAGTAAGTGAAATGTCTTGCTAACACTTGCCATTTCCAGAAAAGCCTTTTCTGTAATAGACGCCACTAGAATCTTTATCCTCTACGTTAAAGATGGAAGAGTTCTGAGAGATGTTCTGCTGCTAGACAAAACCCTGCAGCAATAGAAAGGGTGCCATGGGAGACAGAAGCCTTGCGCTCGTTTCTGATGCCAAGAGGGGAAGACTTTGGAAGCAAGAACGATGCAACCAAGGATTTTGACTACTTTTTAGCTCCAGGGCTGTGGGATGGCCCTAGGAAGTCAGGATGCAGCTCACAGCCAGTAATCCCCGTGTAACCCGCAGATCAAGAGCATCAGGTGAGAGAGTTACAACTGTGCTTTTATCCCCTGGGAGTGGATGAACAAGTCTGTCTAGATTTGAGGTAGGAAAAAGAGGTCCAATTTTCAAGAGAATTAACTTCTTTTTTCTACAAAGAGACAATGAGGTGTTTCTCCCCTTACCTCCTGGATTGCCAGAGTAAATGTGGAGACAAAAACTCATTTTCTTGGTCCCCAAGAAAGCAGTTGGATTCTTGATGTGATCAAGTCCTTGCACCTTTGATCCAAGAGTTTGGGTGTCCCAAGTGAGGGTACCTGAGGCCCTGTTGGTTTTTATGAGTCTGTGGGTCAGCTCAGACCGGCTGCTGACTCATCTGTATGCAACAGCTCTCAAAGAACATAGTTTACTTTATAACCGGATCCAACAAGAGTAGGCGTGGCAGTTAAACAGGCTCAATACACCAAAGGTGTTGAGCTGCCCAGGCTAATTAAGAAAGATTTGTTTATGGAGCCACGGCTGGGAACCAGAAGGCCGGTGTGCTCACGCTGACGGCGTCCAGAGTCACATGCAGGAGGCTGCACACACATGCACACAGGCTGGATGCTCCAAGGCGGGGAATTGGAGGTCCCCAAAGAGCCCCTCCAAAGTCTCTCCCAGTGACTCACTTGGTGGCCCTAGAAGGTCAGGCTGACCCTGCCTTAGCCCTTCCTCGGTCACCCTGATCCCAGAACAATGCAGAGCTTTATAGCACAGACTTTGCTGTGGGCAGATGGGGTTGACACCCTGCTCCACCAACTGCATTACTGGGGCCAGTTACCAGCTTCTAGCTCTCACTCCTGGAGGTCTGTGGTGGGGAATGAGTGAGAAAACACATGTAACGCACTTGTCATTGGGTAAACACTGTTGAAAGGCAGCGCGCTCTAAGCCTGAGCTTTCTCTCCTCCTGCCCAACGCACCCCAGGGTCATACCGTGGGGAGGGGATCTTAGTTCACGTCCCTCCCGAGTTGCAGTCTTCCCACTGCTCCTCATGCCTCCCAGCAGGATGTCATCCAAGGCATGGCTTTGTTTGCGTGGAGCAGCAGCAGGTGACATCCCTTCACTGTCTGTCCCCTTCTCCATTGAACACCACACAAGATGACCTGAGTCATCAGCCTCCACTCAAGAGTCGAAGCCATGAAAAGGACAAGAGCAACATCAGAGCGACGCCACGGCTTGGAGATGGCGCGCTAGGTGGTCTCACACGCTTGCGTGGTGTGGGACAGCTGAGGCATCACGGTGCTCACAGAGGGGATGAAATAAATGGAAACTGGTGCAAAATTCCATGGGAAAAGGAAATTATGTTTTCAAACACTTACAACCAGTTGTTACAGAGGAGAAAGAATGTAGTATGTTGCTATGACCTGAATGTGTCCCCAAAATTTCTATGTTGAAACTTAATTGCCATGTGATAGTTTTAAGAGGTGGGGGATTTTAGGAGATTATTGGGGGATTAGGGCCTTTATACAAGGGCTCGAGGGAGGGGGTTCATTCTCTCCTGCTACGAGGACACAGACCTTCGGCCTTCCACGATGGTTCAAGGTGCCATGTTGGAAGCATAGACCAGGCCCTCACCAGACACCAAACATGCTGGTGCCTTGATCTTGGCCTTCCCAGCCTCCGGAATGGTGAAAAATAAATTTCTGTTGTTTATAAATTACCCAGTCTCAGGTATTTTGTGATAGCAGCAGAAACGGACTAAGACATGGGTGTAAGTAAAACTGCTCGTGGCAGCATCCCCCATGTGAAGGCCGGCTGGGGGCGACCCACACCCGGAAGCAGCAACACAGTGAGGCAACAGCAGCAGGAGAGATCCCTGCTAGACCCGGCCCTCCCCTCCGCACGCGCCTTCCTGCGGGCACGCGAGTCCTCACCGCCGCTCACCTGACCCTAGTCCCCAAACCCGGGCTCACCCCACCCCACCTTTAAGTGAGTCTGGGTGTGGGGCCCTGGAGAACATGTCCTGCGACCTCCGGACACAGGGCGAGCAGTGCCCAGGGCCCCGGGGGCTGCAGTCTGAAGCGACCCGATGGAGACCACTCCCCGGGGCAGATGGGCTCCTCCGAGGGTGACTTTGGTGGGAGCCCTCCTCCACAGTGGGCAGGCAGGACGCCTCCTCCCAACCTGCCCGCCCTCTCGCCCCCAGCCAGGGTCAGCCTGCCAGGTCAGTCTGGCAGCTCCCCCGGCTCCCTCCTGATTTTCTGTCACCTGGCACTTCCTCTAATAGAATCTTTACACTTTTAATCCCATCCTGGTGTCTGCTTCTCAGAGCGCCCGGCCTGGCACAGGAGCTGCTCAGGCTGGGAACTGTCAGTGCTTGGCAGGCGAGACTCCGGCGCCCCACAGAACAGCTGGGAAAGGGCCTTTCGCGATGTCCGCAGCAGAGGCCCCCAAGGTGGCCGTCTGAGTCCCCCAGCAGTGTGGCCCAGGGCACGCCTCTCCTTCCTCCCGGGACCCAGCAGAGGGCTGCGGAAACACAAGGTGCGCCTCTTGCAGGAAGGCCTCAGTTCTGAGACAGTACAGAAGAAACCCCAGACGAGGAAAACAAATGCTTCCTTAACTGCCTCACTCATGTGTAAGGCGGGTGCCTCCTGCACAGCTTCACCAGACCCTCTAATGGCCGTGCGAGCGGGTGGTTGCCTCACCCCTGTCCCGCTCCTGGCCCCACTCCTGGCCCCTCCAGCCCTGCTGAGAGGGGGAAAGAGGCCTGTTGCTAAGCAACCGGGAGGGCGGGGCAGGCGCATCTCCTGAACCACAGCCCGGGTCACAGTGCAGGTCACAATGCGCAGCCAGGGGTCCGCCCTGGTGGAATCCTGTATCTGCGTAAAACCAGCCAGCTGGCTTCTCGCCTTCTCGGTCCTTCCTCCTACCCTGGGTCTTCACCAAGGAATCCCAAGAAACTCCGCGACTGAGGGCCCCTGTCTGCTGCCTCTGCACCTCGCGAGCGAGCGGGGATGTGTGGCGGAGTGAGGAGAGCCGCTCTCTCCTGTCCCTGTCCCTGCCCCTGTGTGCTGTCCCTGCGCTCCTGACTGGGAGGGAGTTCACACTCGGCCTGGAGCCTCCTGCCTCTACCCGCGTAAGGACCACACCAACCCACTGCTTTTCCTTCTCTTTTTCTTAAGGAAATTTGGAACTTTGCATGGATTTTATCCTGTTCGTGACTAACACTCCAACAGGGGACATTTGGATAAACAAAAAGCTTTTGGAGGTGGCTGCGTGGTTCAGGGGAAGAGGAGACATTCCCGTTCACAGCACAAAGGGAGGCCGCGGAGCAGGGGCCCGCAGGGAAAGCGGGCAGGACCGTGCAGAGCGAGCCAGACTCTGGGTGGCAGGAGCGGGCGGCACTGATGACAATCCAGGTGACAGCAGCGAATCCGTAAAGCTGCCAAAGCAAGCTCTTCCCGGTCTGAGAGCGAAAGGAAGGAAATTCACAAGGCAACAGCTCCCGCCCTGCGCTGTGAGCTTTGTACCATTCGTTGAGGTTCATCCTAACAACCTTTGGAAAAGCTTCGTTTTAACCAATGGACAGAGATTTAAAAAAAAACCGAACACTTGTCTCTGGGAACACATTCAGTATGTAACCAAGCGGGAGTTCTGATTCAGGCCTACCTGTATGGAAGCGCTTCCCAACCATTGCCTGGCGGAGACGACTGTCTACAGGTAGACAGAATTTCCCTGTGTGAGCGGAAGTTTGGGCCTCTGCCCTGCTTCTGCTCTGGTTGGTTAGCAAGCAGTGTTAACTGTACACTTTGTGACATCACATATATTCTATGCAAAGCTCTGAACTCATTTTTTTGGGGAATCAGGAATTAAAAAGAATTTTAAGATGAAAATATGGTGGATTAAACAAATGTTTATTTTTGCCTCTCGACAAAAATGGGAGTAAAGGAACCAAAAAGGTAAAATCCACAAAGACAAAGAGATAGGAAGAGAGACAACAGCCATCAAGAGATTTTTACAAAATTTAGGAAGCTAGAGAGCAAATGAACAGCGCAGAGTAGCAAGAGCTGCGCCCAGGGCATATGGAGGGAGAAGACAGCAAGAAGCAAGTCGCACGTTCTCAGCCGCCGAGGGGCAGCACAGGCCAGGCACCTCCGAAAACTGCCCCATTCGGGGCCCGTGTGTGGGGCTGGATATAGGAAAATGTGTTGAAAGCCTCTGTAGGAAACAGATTCCCAGCCTAGGTTTTAATGTTTACTCTGGAGAAAACCAGAAAGGGTGTGAATTTGGGTTCCTCATAGCTAGGTGCTGTCTTGGAGACAGAAGGGGTTGTGTGAGTGACTCATGACCTTCTTCCTCTGCTCAGCACCAGGTGCCTAAACATGGCCATGCCGTGGCAGGCTCTCTAGGAAAGCTCAAAGGGCTGAGAGGGAAGACCTCCTCGTGCTGACAGCCGAGAGTCCCTCCACCTGGCAGGATGAAACGCAGCCGTCTTCCTCACGGCTCCCAGTGAGCTTCTTAGTGCAGTTCTCTTACGTGACAGGCAGCCAAGGGTCGTCAGACATTCGAGGACAGGCTCTGACACGCAGCAAAAAGATCAAAACAAACACACGAAGGGAACCTGGAGTAAACAAAGTAGGGAGCAGAATAGATTTCTAAGAGCCACAATTATCTCCAGAGAGAAGAGAGGATGTATAGACATGAAACAAGAACAGGAAGCTAGAAAAAAAGAGTCCAAGAACAAGAAAGAATACTTGGAAATTTAAATTCTTAGAGCAGGGAAAATAATTGGAAAACAACTCTGAGTAAACCTCCCAGGATTCTTAAGGAGCAAGGCTAGGAGAGAAAAGATAAGGAAAGCGTAGAATCAGTGCAGGAGATTTAGCATCCACGTGACAATAGGCTGCGGCAGCTGTGAGAATGAACCGCCAGCCTCCAGCTGCACCTGCTGAAACCCCCGCAGCCTCTGTTCCAAGGCCATAGTCCTGTGGGCTGTTCCCAGCCACCGACAGAGTGAGGCAGCGGCACCAAGACAGGCCAGTTCCTGCAAGAGGCAGAACTCTCTGACAGGGGGCTTTTGCTCCAGGATAGTGGTCACCCAGGAGGTGTCCCTCCAACCTTCCCTCCCTCTCTCCTTCACAGGGGTCAGACTTACTGCCCCAGCCCCCCTCAGCTCCCCACATTCTCTCACAGCCATCTCCCTGCAAAAAATTCTTTCATGTTTCATCCTGTCCTGGCATCTACTTCTTGGAGGATCCAGACTGGTAGGTGTGAGTTCCAGAAAGAAAGAACTGAAAAAATATAGGAGAGAAATTATGAAAAAATTATATATATATATATATGTATATATTTAACTTCTCACAATTGAAGACCATTAGTTTTCAAATTGGATGAGCCTACTAAGACC